CCTGAGCAGCTAGAAAAATTGATGCTTCTGGATATAAGATCTGGCATTAAAAACTTTACTCTGTTCTTGCTTATAGACTCTATCTACTCTAAAACTCAGTGTATCTTTACAGGCCTCGAGCAAGTGCTGTAGGGGAAAGACTCTGGAGCAGTAAGAATGTGACCGACTTGGAGGATGCCTATAGAAGACTAACTAATCATCGATGCCGCATGCTCCAGTAAGAATAATAGCTGTAGTAAAGCTTGGTTTTCATGCCTTATAACCAGTGGAGTTCAAGTACATGCCGAAATTGCTGGTCTGGAAATGAAGGGAGGAGAGCTAGCAGCTTAGTCATGTCACCACATGTATTTTTGTATCCCCAGAAGAGGAAGAACACATACATTAAGACCGGAGTTCTAGACAGTTTTGCAGCTAGCATTTTCAGAACTCATTAATTTTCTCCAGTGAAATATTAGGAAAATAGTTATACTAAATTGTTATCTCAGTCATGAGAAAAGTAGATACCTTAAGAGATTTACTATGTTAAAAACAAGATTAAAGGACTTAAAAAAAATACCATTTAACAGTATGGTGCAGGTCTTGATGGGGCTCAGAGAAAATACTGATACAGCTGAACAGTGAAGCATACAGTGGCTGTACCTTTGCAAGTAGGGCAATCTGAGCCATCATGTTTCTGGACTTGGTTAACTATTGCCACATCTTAATCTTCTTCCTTTATCCTGGCACTTGTATTGATGTATAAGGAGCTGATTCAGACAACTGCAGCTGCTCTGGTAGGGCTAGTGTGAGATGCGAAATGCAGGAGCAGACTAAGGACTATTCCCTGTACTCACTGTACACTTACTTGTTCCTTAAACTACTTTCTGGTGTAAGATAGGTTTTGCAGAACATGAAGAAAACTGGCACCTGAATTTAAGGTTTTCAGCCTGTCTCTAATAGCCTGGTATATCTGATGGGAACAGAGAACTGTACTTAACTGAAGTACAATTAATGGTAGAATAGGGTCATTTTTCACTCCCTAAGTACACTGCCTATTGCTTCTTGGAAGTAGTTTTCTTTACACAAAGATAAAACAGAGTGAGTGCTAATATCTCTCTTCCAGCCTACAAAGCCAGCCAGGTGTTTGGTTATAATCATACACGTTCCACTTTATTTTAACAGACGTGGCATAGCAGCGGAGCCTGTGTTTGTTGGATACTGTGCCCATGAAGCAAGAGGGGAGTAGCAGCTGCAAGGACTCCTGGTCAACAACCTAAAGTGCCTCTGGTGTATGAACACATGTGCATGCAGTTTGATATCTGAACCAATACTTGAAATTTTCACATTTAAAATAAAGTTACTTGGCATTTGTGTTGGGAGTGTAAGGTGGTTTAGCTTTTATTAGAAATGGGGATTTTTCTCTGTGAAATCTAGAAACCTGGTATCATAAGAGTTACCAATTCAAGTTTCCTTACATTCTAAAGTTGAGGGAAAATAAATGTTAGACATTCTTTAAATAAAGAACAAAATATCTTTTTATTTCAAAGTATCTTATGATTTGCTACTTTTCTGTGGAATCAGTAAATTGCTGACTTGTAACACATGGCACCTCAGAACCACTACATCTTGCATCACTTGTTCATAAGGGTCAAAAACAATCTTCCCTCAACATACTCCAAGGTGGTAGGTAGGTATCTCTGTCCTGAGAGAGCTCTGCCTTTCTGATACTGTTTTGCACAGATCTTATTCAATTTGCAGAAGTATTCATTCCATTTTTTTGCTAACGCAAACTCAGAAGTTACATCCAGTCCTGAACTGTGGTTCAAACTGGTTTCTAACAAAATAGGAAGTAATATGTTCAGTTACAGAGTTTAAAATGTTTATTAACCATATTATTTTACTTGGCTGAAAACAAATCACAATACAGCCTGCCAGAGCTGTAAAGTTACTTCATTTAAGTAAGGTTTGTGACATTTATCTCTATAAAGAAAGAAAGAGTCCTAGTGGCACATTAAATGCACCTGGTGCTTATTTCTGTGAAGAAGATGTGCATCACTTAATTCAGACAGCTGTAAGGTAAGAATTTACAAAGCAGCAAGTGGTGGTTGCACCTCTGGTTCAGCTGCTTTGCAATTACAGGGCTGTGCCTTCTGTTGGGCAGTTAAAAGCCAAGTCTACTCATACACATACTAATTCATCATTTACCACAACCAGTTGGTCCTAGAATAACATACTGGTGTACATAAATAGGCTCCTGAAAATATTTAACAGAGAGGGTAGAAAAGACCATTGTTGTTCTACAGAGTAAAGCTATCACACCAATCCCATCCTCCTCTGAAGAAGTGCACTTTGCTCTTGACTGTTCAGGGCTTGGTAACTGGCAAGCTCCAAAGTGAAGGTGGCTGAGCCTGATGTTAGAGAACGCAAAACAGTTGAGTAGCCCTGGACAAAATGGAGAACATGTCACTCAATTTAGGATAAAGGGAGGTAAGTCAGTACAGAAAGCTACATAGGTCACACAGAGTCAGCAGTATACTGCAACATACCAGTAAGTTAATTGTTTTAATATTAATGTATTAAAAGTGCAATACATTTATGAGTCAACCCAGTAATACACCTTTAAAAATATTATTTGCAAAACCTGTTTTAGTAGCATTTGCTACTTCTCCAACTTACACTTGAAAACACACTGATTTAACAATCCAAATTAACCACAAAAACACTTAACTAGATTTGCAGGCATTTGCTTTAGACTTAAAGTAATGAAAATACAATTTAAAACATCCATTCCAAACTGATTCATGTGTAAAAACAGGAAAAGTGAATTGAAGACTAAGTATTTTTAAGCATATAAGAAAAGCTCCTATTTGTGCTTCATCATTAATAAGATAATCACATACCATCATCTCTGCTAGTGGAACAGCAGCGACCACAACTCTGTTATCTTGACGACTCTGGATTTCCTGAATGCTGCCTCTCCGCTGTGCAAGGTCAGCAAGTGCTGCACTGAGATGGTCTTCACCCACTGTGATTTCTAGGTTCATCAAGGGCTCTAGTATTTGTATATCAGCTTTTTTCAAAGCCTGCATGGAGGGAAAGGCCAGTTATGTTGACATTTCCCCCCTCGAAAATTTTCATTAAAAGTAGGTATGTGACTCAAGCTAACACTGCCTCTCGAATCCTCTACTTCCAAAAGCTACAAGGTCCCCAGTGAGTTCATTCTGCTGTCAGAGAAGAAAAATTGCCAGACATAGATGCACACATTTTCCCAGTAGTATCACGCTGCTGTGTTCTACAGCAGTGTACAGTTTCACTGTACCTTTTGCATGCAACGGGAGACACAGGCTGATACCATAGTGTGGGAAGTGTCAGGATGCACTGTCAGTGACTGCACTGTCACATCTATATCCTGAACTGGGAATCCAAGCAAGGGCCCTAGGAAAAAAAAAAAAAAAAGCACAATTTACAAAATATTAATATACATTCAAAAATTTTCCTTCTACTTCCTCCCCACAAGGGTATGGCTACTGGTATTGTTCATCATATGATTTTGTCATTATCAGGCTTTCCCAAAAGAGATGAAGAAATGCAGACTGACAAAGCACAAACTATTTTGAGAACCAGAAGTTCCCAAGTGTGCTAATGTACTCACATCTAAACCTTTTGTTTAACCAGAGCCTCTGTAATCCTCCCCTCCCCACTGTACTGGTGAGGCCACACCTCAAGTACTGTGTTCAGTTCTGGGCCTCTCGTCACAAGAAGGATATTGAGGATCTGGAGCATGTCCAGCGAAGGTGAAGGGTCTGGAAATCAAATCTTAGGAGAAGCAGCTGCTAAGAGAACTTGAGTTCTTTAGCTTAGAGAAAAGGAGTTTGAGAGGAGACCTTATTGCTCTCTACAATGACCTGAAAGGAGGTTCTAGTAAGAAGGTCTCTTCTCCCAAGTAACAAGCGGTGGGACAAAAGTAAATGGTCTCAAGTTGTGCCAGGGAATGTTTAGATTGGATATTAGAAGAAACTTCTTCACTGAAAAGGTTATAAAACACTGGAAAAGGCTGTGCTGGGAAGTGGTTGTATCACCATCCTGGGAGGTGTTTAAAAATGTGATGTTTCATAGTTTAGCAATGGACTTGGTAGAATTAATTTAAAGGTTGGACTCTATAGTCTCAGAGACCTTTTCTAGCCAAAACAATTCTATGATTCTAAGCCAGAATATCGTCTGTACTTTTCAACACGTGATCATAGCAAAGCCTGACCTAACCCACTACCAGAACTGCAGGGTTAAACTCAATTCCATGAGTTAACCACATCTACTATCCAAGGTAGGTTATTCTCCCTCCAACTGAGGACTAAACCAGACAATAATCTGTATTAGACTGGATGTGAGGCCTTAACCACATCTAAGAAAAAACACATAAGCTTTTTATTCTCCAGAGACCATGGTGAGATATTTATTTATATATATATTTATTTTTTTTCCAAATAAATTCATGGCATACATTTTAGGCTGGAGACAGCTCTGAAGTGTCTTCAAGGAGCATGAAGAAAGCACACAGTCAAACTCATTGGAATAATAGAATCATAGGGGTTGGAAGGGACCTCTGATGATCATTAAGTCCAACGCTCCTGCTGCAGCAGGATGACCTAGGGCAGGTCACACAGAAGCAGATAAAGACAGGTCTTGGAAGTCTCCAGAGAAGGAAACTCCACAATCTCTTTGGGCAGCCTGTTCAGTGCTCCATCACCCTCACAGTAAAGAAGTATTTCCTCATGTTGAGGTGAAACTTTCTGTGTTGCAGCTTGGTGCTGTTTCTCCTCATCCTATCACAGGGCACCACTGAAAAGAAACTGGCCCATTCTTGACAGTCACCCTTCAGATACTTAGAGACATTAATAAAGCCAATTCTCGGGCTTCTCCAGACTAAACAGCCCCAGGTTTCTTAGCCTTTCCTTGTATGACAGATGTTCCAGTCCCTTAATCATTCTTGTAGCTCTCTGTTGGACTCTTTCCAGCATATCCCAGTCCATCCTGAACTGGGGAGCCCAAAACTGGACACAGTACTCCAAATATGGTCTTACTAGGGCAGAGTAGAAGGGGAGGAGAACCTCCCTTGACCTGCTGGCCACAATATCCTTAATGCATCCCAGGATACTATTGGGTCTCTTAGCCATGAGGGCACATCGTTGTCCCATGGATAACTTGTCCACCAGGACTTCAAGGTCCTTCTCCATGTGGCTGATTTCTAGTACGTCAATCCCTAATCATTCCACACCAAGAGATGACAGACTCTGAACAGAACAAAGCAACATGGAAAAAACACTTCCTGCTGCTGCTTCTACAGTAATTATCACTTATCAATCCACTGCCTGTTAACTTTGCTGTAGCGAAGAGTTCTTTGGCCAAAAGTTATTAAATACTTCCTGTTTTTAATAAAACATAAAAGATGCTTTTAGTCCTTTAGAAAGCCTATTCTTTGCAATTAGGTAAGGGTTTTCATTGTATATTTTCATGGACTTAACATATTTGAAAATAAAAAACCAAAACACGTCAGTAACTTAAGAGCAGTGTGTTACATATGTTTGCCTCTGAAACCAGTTTTGTCACATCACTGGTTTACATGATGTCATCAAGTCCAGATTAAAAGAAAACAAACAAAAGAACCCCAAGCTCACTGTTGAGTGACTGAGAAGTCAGCCTTAAAACCAAAGGCATGCCTACATCCTTTCCTAGCACAGGGTAAGGAGTGATTGGCAATTTTTGCAGTTGAGGTGATTTCAAATTTTTCCTTTGTATTAACATCAGTACATACTACCTTCTAGTTTTCAAGGTACCAAGGAGTTTTTCCTCCTAGAAATATATTAAATTGCTTCTTACAGAAATGTTGGACCAGTATAGCCTCCTTTACCTTGAATGCATGAATTTGTGATTCCATTTTCTACAGCTCCTTGGAGTTCTTTGGGTAGTTCTTCAATGACACTTGCAGCATACTCAATGACAGGTTTTGTTGTTGCTCTCTCCCCTAACCTGGGCCTCACCTCTAACTCAGCAGTTACAAAGTGTCGTTTATCTCCTACTGTTTTGTCCAATGTATCTGCAGGACAAAAAAACAACCCAAAACAACCATTTGTAAAAAATATAATACATGTAATTCATCTGGAAGTTACTCAGAAGATCATTTCAAGTAAAGCAAGCTACAAAATCAGAAACAAATGTTCCTTCCATTCACTCATCTTACCTGTAGCTTGG